AATACTGAAGTGACATACAATTAAAGTTCATTTTTCCAAGCTCAAAACTCTTACATCTTATTCATGTCTTCATAGAAATAGGGACCGAAGCTGTGATTTCATTTACACAAGGAACTCCCAAGGAAGAAAATCCCCTTATGAATACAGATCGGCGTCCTTTCCAAAACTTAGATTCTTAAAGAATTGTACTGGGTGCTGAGAGATTACATGACTTGTTGGGAAGCAAGACAAATATTTGTCAGAAGTCAAACCTATCTCTGTAGCTTCAAACCTGGCTCTCTAACCATTATACCATGCTTCATGGATGTGTTTTCCTAAAGAAGACATACACACATATAATATTTTATATATTCATTAACATATTTTATTTATAGGCTTATAAAGTATGTAATATATTAATATATATGTATCATATATTTAATAAACATTTACATATCCATATCTTTATAGTTTATATAATATATATTTATAAACATTTATTATATGTTATATATTTATGAATAATATGTTTTGGTTATATATTTACAAATTAGAGTATATATTTATATACTATACATTTATATTATATATTTATAAACACATATTTATTTATATATCCATGTCTTTATAATTTATATTATATAAACATGCATTTACATATTCACAAATCATGTTATATTTATAAACATATATTTATGAACATATAGACTTTCTCTGTCTTTTTAACCTAACTTTTGCAAGTATTATTTATTCATAAGTGTAGTTATAAATTGAGCTTTTTGATAGTGAGAGAATATTAGCAATGGAAGGGTCACCAGGGACCATCTATTCCAGACTATACCTGAAAAAGAATCCTCACAAGTATACTCATAGCAAGTGGTCATGCAGATTCTTCTTGAAGATCTCTAATGAAAGGCCATGCCAGCACTACAGCCAGCTCACTTCACCCCTGGACAGCCATCGGCTCTAATTGTTAGGAAATGTTGTTTGTTTGCTCTCCCCTGGCATCAAACTTAAATTTATTTCCTTGCAGCTTCTGCTCACCAGTGCTTGGCTTTGCCCTTTGTGGTCAAATAGAAAAGTCTAATCCCATTTCTACCTGTCAGTCCTTCAAATGCAGTACTCGATAACATCTATCATGTGCCTCCCCTTCATCTACCCCTTCGCTTCTCTTCTCCACCAGCAGTTCCTAGATCCTCATAAGAAATGGACTCAAGGCCCTTTACCATCCTGGTTGCCTTCCTCTGAATACCTTTTTTTCACAATAGATTATTAGGTGCATAATTCATTGTGACAAAAAGCATATTTACATTTTTGTATAGTGTCCATTTTTCCAAGTCCCCTTTGTATCATAACTGTCTTTTTAAATGACTCATCAAAGTTAATAAATTTAATTATGGGGAATAGCTTTCATGTGCATGAGATTATTCAGATTGTAAACCCCCAAAATCATTGTTTTCAACACATAATTTCAGTAAGTTCAAATATACTCTGCTAAATTTATACTTTTATTCCCTTTGATCTTCTGAATATTTTAGTTTGTATATCTATTAGTATTTGTATAAATCAAAGATCAACATTTTTATAATTAGTCATATGTCATATCTTGATTGATGAAGCAATTTGGTGCTCATGTTATTTTAAAGGATTTTTTTTTTTTTGCCCAGAGTAGATTCTAGAATCAAAACAATCAAACTTATTCAGTATGTAAGTTCATAGAACCACGCATGAATTCTGAGTTCTATAATTGTCAACGATGATTAATTAATAAAAGCTATCTCTTTGTCTTGTTCGATTTGGCCAATGGATTTCAGAATGAGTGTGACGACCAATTCATAATAAGAGATTATTAATCATTTTAAATTCACATGTCACAAGAGATCCAAAATCATTACAGTTATTTGGTATATTTATTTAGATACTAACCTATGATAAAGCTAATGACTTTCCAGGCAGGAAGCAGTTATTCAAGGTGCCCAGATCCAATGTGTCCTGTTTATGGTTTGTACATGGTTATCTGCAGGTTGTTTCTCCTATTAGATTATAAGCTCCTTGAAAGCAGGCACTGTTTCTGCTTTTCTTTATATCCCTAGCACTTAGCATGGCATCCAGCATATGATAGCCAATGTGTGAAGCACTGTAGTAAGTGCTTTATAATTATTATCTCACTTGATCCTCACAACAATCCTGGGATGTAAGGGCTATTATTATCTCCATTTTTACAGAGCAGAAAACTGAGGGAGAAGATAAGTGACTTGCCTAGGGTCACACAACTAGTAAATGTCTAAGACTGCTTTTGAACTTAGTATTTCCTGATACAATAAATGCTTGTTGACTGACTGATATAAAAAAGCCAGGCAGGTAACTGTCATTTCTTAAAGGCCTGTAAGACTTTAATACTTATTTTAAACACTGAAGGGGAATGACTGTCAGGCCCTCCATGCTCATCTATCCACACCTCAGTACCTCCCATGGTCCCTTCCAGTATCTCCACCAACTTTGAGGTTTTCCACTACTGCTGATAGTAGCATACAGAGGGCCTTAGAATCATGGATCTAGCTAGAGGGGCCTTAGAAGCCCTCTAGATCAACCCCCCTCTTTTTTTACAGATTAAAAAACTGAGATCCAGGAAAGTAAATTACTTGCCCAAGGTCATGAAGGCAATCAATAATCATGAAAAGACACTGAACTCCACATCCCACCTCCCACCGCCTTCCATTACTGATGTTGGCATTAAAAAAAAAAAATAACTATTTTTGCATTAGTTGATTGGAAACAAGGAAAACATTTGTTTAAAGCAAACATTTACTAGGAAATGAAAAAAAAAAGGCAAATGCAAACCACACAGAAACAAAGAGACAAATGCATTCATTTATTATAATTTTTTCATTCTAAATTTCAATACCTAGTTAATAATTAATATAAATTATGTGACAGCCTCCACTTCCCTCTCCTCATCTTGAGCTCTCTATTTGAATTCCATACACAGAGTCTAAAAGTGCTAGCCTAAGGTGAATTTGAGTTAGCTTCTTCATCTTTTGTTGTATGCTCCCATCACTGAATGTCATCTTTCCTTCCCCAATAGCCATAGGAACTCAGTAATAGATGTCATCATTTCTTAGCTATCTGACTCCAGGAACAGATTCCTATTTCTTTCTCTTTCAAAACCCATATTCCTTTTAGGGGCATTTCATTGTGTTCCTATTTCCTATCTAAAGGAGCCTCCTGCTCAAAGATGTCCAGAGTAAAGGTGCCTGACAAACCCTATGCCTAATAGTGAATAAGAAAATCTTTCCTGGTTCAAATCACCAGCTCTACCCATGTCCTCGAATTTTCTTTAATGACTTTTTCTTCAATGTCCTTCAAGGAATGGTTTTCTAGAAATAAAGCTAGCACCTGGTTGATCAAGGGAACCTTCTCCTACAAACAGGATCCAGATTTGGTCTCTGGATGACCAGGTTAAATTCTAGGAAAGCCTGGCCCCAAAGAGAGGGAAGCCAAGCCCTTCTTATAGTCTCTACTCAATACCACCCCAGAATAACAGGGAATATCTCTTAAATCTTAGGTTCAGTTTATGTTTAAGATCTCCCCTAGAAAGTATTTTAATACCTAGAAGGAATTTTCAAAAGCCCTTTATAGAATGAACTAAGTGTACAAGTATATCAAATAGGACAGCTATTTATTTCTTCTGTCACAAAAGAAATGTTCAAAACTCAGAAGTCTTTGTCAAAGGAGCTCATTGATAAATATTGGAAACAGGATACAGCAAACTATACTCATTATATTTTCTTGTAAATTTGATACTCAGAACAATAAATGTGAAATACTCAGTGGCCTTGTCAAACAGGAATTGTATCTTTACTTCTAGTCTTCACAATCCAAGCAACTCACTCAATGCTCATATCTTCTGGCAAACCAGTCTATGGTTTGGTCTAATCTTCTCCTTTGAAAAGTGATTTCAGAGGTCCCTTCCTACTTGGTAACCAGTACTTTGACCCAAAAGCTCTGGACCTCTTGAACTCATGAGATTACTACCAAGGGTAGAAATACACACACACACACACACACACACACACACACACACACACCCCTGTGTGTGTGTATATATATATATATATATATATATATATATATACACACACACACACACACACATATATATATACATTTATATATGTGTGTATGTATAGATATCAATAGATATGGATAGATGTAGATATAGGTATAGATACAGATATAAATAGATATAGATATAGTTATCTTACAATTTGTTCCAGGAAAGAAGCACAAAGAAGAAAAGTAAACCAAAGAATTGAAGCCCAGTCTTAAGTTAACTAGACCATCACAAGCTCTCTTTGCTATGTAGGAACAGCTGCAGTAGAGAGAGGTAGGAGGGAAGTGGGGAGAGGATAGTAATCTCTTCTTCCCTGCCACAGAAAATCCAAAGAAGTGGCTTGAGCCACCCATTCTGGAAAAGAATAGAGGAATTTGCCCCTCCCTTTAAAGTCCATTGAGTAGAAGCCTCTTCATGCTGATTGGCCAATCATTTTTGACACAGACCCTCCCCTAACCCTGATGGAATAAGAGCACTGGCAGACCAACTAGATGCCTCTGATATTGATACCCTTTATCAAGGAGCTTCACAAGAAGAGGCCATGGTCCAAGCTTATCCCCATTCATAAATGAAATGGCAACTCTTACACTATGCTCATACCTTTACATTATCGAAAATACTTTAAACATAAAAGGTGTGGCAGTTATAATTCCTGTCAAGGGAAGAGAACACTAATCACCTCACAATATTAAAAATGATTTAAAATGTAGTCCACATGCCCACAAAAATCTTAAAGTCTAATACACACATATGTGTGTATATATATATGCATATATATATATATATATATATATATATACACATACATGCATATAATATACACATATACACATACACACGCATAAACTGATTCAGGGACGTTAACAGGCAAGATATCTGTAAAGATGACTGTTGTTTCTCCCTGCAGAATCCATGTGATGATAAACGACACAGGGACATCTGGTCCAGAGACAAAACTTGTGACCATTTACCAAAATTCCTTGTGATAGGACCTCAGAAAACAGGTGAGAAAGGTGACATGTGCATTTTCCATACATCTGTGCCAAATGCCATAGATGTATTTAGATGGTTTATGGGGTCTTTAGGAAACATTTATATTCCCCTTCAAGTTCTTGGTTGGGTAATGATTGGTATTTTTTTTCTTTAGCCCCACCTCCCCTACCATATCCATATACCTTATTTTTATTATACCAACAAACATAGAATCATAAGGAATGCATGGTTATGTTTTTGTTGAATGAAACAATAACTGAACAAGTGAATGAGAGAATGAGAGTTTCCTTTGCTTATGTCATGGTCTCAAACATTAGTTACTCAAGCTGCTAGAAAGATATGAGTTTTCATCAATTTCCATTTTATTTACACTTGAATCCAAATGACTTCACAATTGATTGGCAGTGCATTATTCATACATCAAAGGCTCTCCCTGTGAACTTTTTTTTAATGATTTGCTAAACCTATTTGTATTTGTTTCATGGCACTCAGTAGTAATTTTCTTTTGGGGTGGGCACAGCTGGAAAGTTAGCAATCCACCCCTTCCTTTGAAAGTCCTTTGTTTAAAGACTTCCATTTTAAATTTGTGCAGTTAGAGGAAAATAAACTATCATGTAGGAGGTTTGTTGATACTGCATATTAGCAAAGCATACAAAATATCCATTTCTAGCCATTGTGCTGCTTGAAGAAATCTGACAGCTCTCTGCAGAGGTCATCATGATTCTGACTGGGGAGTGGCTGAGAGGAGTGTTTCGCAAACAGTGTGCGATTTTGGAAATTCTTTATTTTATTGTCTTTACCTCTGAACTCTAGCAGCTTGAGCAATGTAAGAGTGGGACATGGAGGTGTGGATGTGAACCTAAATTAAATGAATCTACTAGGCTCCCAGTTCCTTTCAAGAAACTCTTATTGATACTTTATAGACCCCTGCAGTTCTATGGAGCATTTTGAAAACAGTACTTGTTGAAAAAAGAACAAATATTAGACTAGCTGATCATTTATTGTTTTTCCCAAACTTCAGATTTTTTGTTTCCTAGAAATGAATGAAGTATTCCCTGAAATATACGAAAACAAACGTAAATTTTGGAAGACCAAGACACGATAAAAAGCATTTCAGAAAACTAGGAGAGAATGATAATGCGTTGAGACATGTCACCATAGGGTTCGATAACTGCTTTTAGAAAACAGCCATTCCTTTGGAATCTTCTGAATTATGTTTCACTTTCTTTCTACAAAAATTGGATCCTATAAAAACTGAAGGATGTCTACCAAGACTATAAACTGCTTAGGAATGAATTCTTTATGTCTTATAGTCTGACTAAACTAGACCTGCTCGTTTGCTAGACTGGCTAAGAACTACCATTCAGAATGTCCACATAATACGTGACAAACTAATTTGCAATATTATTTTAGGAAACAGAAGAAAACTTAACTGAAAACAATGGAAAGAGACCTGAGCTTAGTCACTGATTGGCAGTCACTGATTGGTGAACCCAAGCATATCGTATAAGTTCTTTGGCTCCATTATAAAGTGAGAAGATGATAGGCTTCTCTTAATCAAGAAGAATGAATTGTAGACTGAGAAGGATAGGAAAGAAACAATTAGCAGGGAGTCAAGAACCAAAATAAGGAAAGAGGTAACTACAAACTGAGATGCTGGATAATCATCTTGTTAACAGATGCAGACGAACTGTGGTCCTAGGCAATTAAAGAACTGGTGGGTAAGATTATTAAGCTGTCTCAGTGATCTATGAAAAGTCATTGAAAATGGGAAAAGTGAGAAGGAACCAAAGATTGGCAAATATTACCTGAATTAAAAAAAAAAAGAATGGGGTCATTAAGTTAGCGAATTTGGCTTCCATTCAGATAGAATGTAAACTCCTTGAAGGCGGAGACTGTTTCATTTTTGTCTTTGTGGCTATGGTGCCTAGCCATAGTAGATACTTGATAAATGCTTGTTGATTTATTCCTGGCAACATTATAGAACATATTGTCAAAGTGATATTTTTTGAATGTTTAGAAATGGAAGCAATGATCACTAAAAGTCAGCATGGCTTCATAAGGTACAGTCCATGTCAGATTATCTTTAATTATTATTTTTTTTCTTTTTTTGGATATGATTACTAAAGTGGTAGATCAGGGGAATGCCAAGGACATATACTGAAATTTCAGCAAAGTATCTGACAAAATCCTTCATGTAATCATTGTGGACAAGATGGAGTAATGTCATGTAGATGATAGGACAGTCTGATTCATTCAGAACTGGTTGAATATTTAGACACAATAGGTTAATTTGTTCTAAGGATCCATCCTTGACCCTAAGGTGCTCAGCAGCTTTATTAATGATATGTGTGACATCATAGATGGCTATTTATTTATAGATAATAAATTTGGGAAGGATAGTTAATAGGCTGGATGACAGAATCAGGGCTAAATCTAGTAAGAATAAATTTAGTTAAGGTGAATATGAAGTCTTCAATTTTAAACTTGAATTTAAAAAAACATAATGGCAAGATAGGGGAAGCTTAACTGGGAAACAATTAATATTGGAAAAGATCTGAAGATTTTGGTGATTTCAAGTTCAATATGAATCAAGTATGATATGGCAAAGACAAAGGCCGTTGAAATCTGAGACTATATTAAAAGAGGCATAAGATCTGGAAAGAGGGGGATGCCTCTCATGCTGAACACTGTATCTAGGTCTAGACAATGAATGTCTGGCATGGCAGACAGGATTGGTTTTAGGACCGGGTCCCAAATTTTAGGAAGGATGCTGATAAAGTGGAGTGCATTCAGAGGAGGGTAATAGGATAGTAAGACAAACAGAGAGCGTGCAATAGAAGGATTGTTTGAATGAATTGTTGATATTTTAGCCTGAAGAAGAGAAGGCTTGAGGGAGGGAAGATATGACAGTCATCTTCAACTATTTAAAAGGCTGTCATGTGGAAGAAGAATAAGATTCGTTCTGTTTTGCTTCAGAGGAAGAACAAGGACCAAGAAGATGCAAAAAAGAAATTGCATTTGTTGTTATGAGGGAAAACATCCTAACAATTAGAGTTGTCCAAACATGGAATGGGCTTGCCCTAGGGAGCGTGGTCCTGTTTTTGACCTACACCTTCTTCTTTTCTCCCTTTACATTTTCTATCTAACCTCATCACTTCCCATGGTTTTAACTATTGTATCTATGCAGGTGTCTCCCATGTCTATGCATCTAGCCCAAGGCATTTTCTGCTTATTGAGCCTTTCATACTGGATAAATCAGAGGTTTCTTAATCTCAACATGTCCCCAGCTGAATTCATTATTTTTTCCCAAACTCTGCTTTTTTTTTTCAAATTCCCTTATTTGTCAAAAGCACCACCATCTTTCCAGTCTCCCATGATGACATTATCCTGGGCTCCTCTCTCTCATCACATATCAGTTACCAAATTTTGCCATTTCTGTCTTCCCAACATCTCTTTCAACAATTTCTCTCCACTTGGAGATAACATGTTAATCCAGGTCCTCACTACTTCTTGCCTACATTATTGTAAGAGCCTCCTAATTGATCCCCCTGCCTCATGTCTCTTCCAATTCTATTCCATTCTACACACTGATGCTTAAAGCAATTAACCAAAAACACAGACCTAACCATGTGATTCCCCTACTCAGTCAGCTCAGTAGCTTTCTATTGCCTCTAGCCCAAATCTATCTTTCCACCTCCACTATATGTGTGTGTATTAGTTTATTATTTTTATTTTAAACCATTTTTTAAAATTGAGTTTTAAATTCTCTCCCTCCTTCCCACCCCATCCCCCACCCACTGAGAAGGCAAGCAATATGATACCCATTATACATGTGAAATCATGTATTAGCCATGCCACAAAAAAGCAATAAAAATAAAGTGAAAAAAAATTATATTACAATTTGTATGCAAAGTTCTTTGGTTCTCTCTCTAAAGATGGATAGCAATTTTCATCATGAGTCCTTCTAAATAGTCTTGGATTATTGTATTGATCAGGGTAGCTAAGTCTTTCACAGTTGATTATCATTATAATATTGCTGTTACTGTGTAAAATGGTCTCCTGGTTCTGTTGATTTCACTTTGCATCAGTTCATTTAGGTCTTTCTAGGTTTTTCTGAAACCATGCCCCCAGTCATTTGGATGAGCATAGCGTTCCCTCATAATCATATACCACAAATTGTTCAGCCATTCCCAATTGATAAACTTTTTCTCAATTTCTCATTCTTTGCCACCACTAAAAAGAGCTGCCATAAATATTTTTGTACATATGGATCCTTTTCATTTTTCTTTGATCTCTTTGGAATGTAGACCTGGTGAGCGGTATTGCTAGGCTAAAGGGTATGAACAGTTCTATAGCACTTTGGCCATAGTTCCAAATTGTTCTCCACAATAGTTGGACCAGTTTACAACTACACCAATACTTCATTAATATATCTATTTTCCTATATTCCTTCCAGCATTTGTCATTCTGGTAGATATTAGGCAGTACATCAGAGTTATTTTAATTTATATTTCTTTTTTTTATTTTAATATTTTATGTAAAACCAGATTCACTCAGCTAAATCAGCTTAATGGCTAACTAAATCTCTTTGTGTTAACTATTGAATGACTTTAGAGTATCTCTTTTGATTCCACCATAGAATCTAAACTACCAAGGAACTGGCTTGAATCATCCCCAGCATAGAACAAAAGCCCTTCTTGAAGATTCTTTCAGGATGCTTGTTTCGGTCATTACGGTCATCCCTCCACCCTACTAGTGATTATTCAACAAAAATTATTTAAGCACACAATACTGTTAAGAGCCAGGGATAAGAAAGTGACCCAGGAGGGATGCTAACCTTCTTGGTATGGTAGTTTCTACTGAGATTGGCCAAGGACAAATGCCACTATTTCAACCATAATAGAAGAAGAACATATTGTTTAATATTTTTGGTTACTGTCACCAGGAACAGAGAAGGGAGTGTGTTAAACTCACTGACACATTTTAAACTTCCTGTCCCCAACACATT